TCTCTCTCTCTCTCTCTCACACACACACACACTTACTCACACACACCATCTCTCTATCTCTCTCACACACACACACACACACACACACAGAGAGCCTTACCTGGGAATGCGTTGGGGTCGGGGTTCTTGTTGCACCAGTCGGTGTCGCAGCACATGGGGTAGATGCCGGTGTCGTGCTTGGCGGAGGGAGCGCAGACGAAGGGCCGGTCTCGTGGGATCAGCTCGTTCTCGCTGATGCACCAGCTCTGCTGTGTGGTCACTCCGCCGGATTTAGTGATGGACACGTAACACAGGCCGTCCGTGGCACACGTGTGGTTCGGACACCGGTGACAGTAGCACTGTAAGGTTGCTAACAAGCACAAATCACATTAGCATCTCACAACTGTTAGAATAAAACCAGGGCTGCTCATTTCATCATCTGTTCATTTGGTGCAATTAATTATGGACAAATTAACATGTTAAAATGGCCAGTGCATTTAACGCAGCGCCCAGACCAGACCTGAAAATAGTTACAATCAAAGCTACAGCAGAACTGATGAGCGTCTCTGATCAACACACAGAAGGGTTTCGTTTCTGACTGAATCTGTATTTTTGAATAAATCAAGTGATTCAGTGACTCATTCATAAAGACAGTCACTTTGTTTCTGAATAAATCTGCCGTTTGAATGAATCGGTTGAATGAATGATTCAATGACTCACTCAGGATGACAGTGACTCGCTGCCACCTATTGATTCTTTTAGGTTCTTATTTAGAGTATAATTTCATTTTAAATCATTTAATATTTCAACATTTATTTATATTTTCACAATGTCAAATCAAAATTTGTAGTATGTTCAATGCTTTTCCCATTTAACACAATAATGACTTTAAATGATCTTAAGATAATTTCTCACCCCAAATTAGATTAATTAATTGGCACAACATCTAATAATTAGATACAAAGTTTTAATCTCTTGATAGCCCTGAAAAACATCATCCTTCATTTAAAACACAAGAATGATGCACCGGCTGAGATGAACTCAGTCTGAACACAATAATTCTGATGAAATTTCCCTGAAACACAGCTCTTGTCTCCGGTGTTCAGACTGGTTTGTCCTGAAACAGCAGCACAGCTTTTCTGCTTATCGGCCAAAATGTGTCTCTTCACAGCTGTTTTACACTGTAATAATATTTCACTGTTTTTACTGTATTTTTGATCAATTAAATGCAGCCTCGGTGAACAGAAGAGACTTTCAGAGACATTAACCCTGAATGTTTGATGAACAGCAGACAGCGTCTCTGTGATGATTTTACTGTCAAACCGCTAAAGCACAGCTCACTAATTAAAGAACTGCAGCTAAAAATATCAAAACATGAAAACAAGAGAAAAAGGAACACAGACAGTGGGCCATCAGGACCGTCTCTATCGTCTCTTTCTGTCTCGCAGTGCTGCTCTCACTGGTTTGGTTCATACGTGTGATGATAACACTGAGACGAGGCATGAGGACAGAAACACTGAGCCACTGTGTGTTTGAAGCGCTGCTGATGCACGAGTGATGCACGGCACAGACGGGTTCAGACAGACACACACACACTCACACGCACGCACGCACACACACACTCGCACGCACGCACGCACGCACGCACACACACACACACTCTCTCTCTCTCTCTCTCTCTCACACACACACACAC